TATGAATTATCTGGTGATGATTTGCGCAATGTTTTATCCGAGATCGGGGATACAGCCAGTTTTATAAGAGGTTCTTGTACGGCTGTGCACAGTGGACCTACACAATACAGTGTCGATAAGATGCCGTTAAATTCAGGCCAGTTACAAACTTGTACATGATGTCAGATTTTGTTCATTCTCTTCGTCTGACTATTCAGCAGATTACTACGACTTCTCGTCAGTCACGTTAAAATTGTGCTGCTAAAGCTGAACAGGGTTGAGAACACGGATGCGTAATGCAATAGTTGCAACAAACCGGTCATTTCGGAGTGTTGGTACCTACCTATATAGTGAATAGTGGTCTACCTGCTTCAAATCTGCAAACAAAACTCCCAGTCTCTAGGAAAGCCTTAAAGTTCTTTTTTACTCTGAAACGACTTAAATAATGACTGCTAGGTACATCCGCGCCCTACCTTGAGTACAACTCGAACAGACTCCACAGGTGTGATATCCGTTTTGTTACAACCGCCTTCGATGTAAAGACGACAAACAAGCCCACTTATTGAAAATTTAAAGGAGACTTTTAAAGAAGCACTACAAAATATTTACAGTTTTTTTTTGTTTAATAAGATATTTGTAACATTAATCACGGGGACCAGAGGCCATGAGGTAGTTTACGTATGAAGGAACTATCCTATTCACATGCTATCACTCACTCAATCCAGGTCTTCGTCAACCGCTGCCTTCGGCAAATACTTGGCATTTTCTGGCCAGAGAAGATCTCGAACGAACGCTTGTGGGAGGCGTGCCGGGAAATGCCAATAGATAAGCAAATTACACGCCGAAAGTGGTCATGGATAGGGCACACTCTCTGGAGAGGTCCCATACACATACCGAGACAAGATCTAGAGTGGACACCACAAGGCAGGCGAAAAGTTGGCCGTCCTAAGCGAACGTGGCGGCGCACAGTGGCGGCGGAAAAGAGGATAGGACTGTCCTGGTCCGAAATTAAGCACATAGCCCAAGATAGGTCCAATTGGAAAAATACTGTGGAAGCCCTCTGCCCCACCTAGGGGATATAGGAACTCAAGTCAAGTAAGTCATTCTATTCACATGCAGCAGGAAACACTCGGAACGTCGTGGGCCACGTGACGATCTTCGGCCACCGTAAGCGCAGGTCTGCGGAGCCAGGGTATCTCGCCTCCTCCGCCTGACTAAACCTGACCCGAGCGTACAGCGCTTAACGTTGCTCGCGCCTCATCATGATTGAATATCATCAAATATCTTCCATAGAGTGAGACGGAGAGTCAGACTTTTACTAACGAAAGACCACCTTGTTTTCGTCTTCGAACCAGGGCGCAGTAGATAGAAGATGACATTAATTGCAACGATAACCCTGGCTGATTATCAGCCCTATTAATCCCATCTCTGGCGGAGTGGCGGCGCTGCAAGTGCTGCGCTAAATATATTAGGTACTTCTCAGATGAAATGAGCCAACTCAAGTAGTGACTCGACTTTCCCTAAAAAGGTAGATAGCCTCATTTTATTTAGTTGATTCTTCAAAACTATGAGGACATCAATGTGAAATAGATCAATAGTAGGTACCTAGAGGATTTAAAAATCTGTTCCAATTGGCTTGGCCTCATCATGAAATGTGATCATTAATGAAGTCAACAAATTTACAATTCGGTCGTATAGAAAACAAACGGTCAAATATAAAGGAGGTTTAACATTAAATACGAATAATAAATACCTACCTAATTTAGTTATGCAAATAAGTTCAAAATTCCAGTAAAATTTCGTAGTTTCTCTTGTCCAAAAACTATTAGGTAAGTACCTACATCATGCTCAAAAATAGTAATAAGTATTCTATTCATCAGCTAAAGGAGTATGTACCTACAAGGAAAATACATACCGTCAATAAATGCTTAATGTAACTAGCTTCATGCCTATGATATTTCGTCAAAACTTTACACAATTATTCTCGGGGTAAACTAACAATTTCAAAAGCTACCTACCTGAATAATGTTCGTATTAATAATTTATGGCAAAGAGCTGTTGAAAGGTCAGCTTTCAATCGATACGAATTATTAATATACTTACACGTTGCTTTATTTCGAGATATCAAAGTATTGCAGGTTATTTTTACGAAAAATGTAAGTAAAGAAAACGTTTAAGTATACCTACGAATATTATTAACAATCAGGAAACTTTGAATTTTTGTTACGTTTGTCAAAAATAAACAAAAAATTACTGAGCCTTGTTCAAAAAATATTTTTTCACCATTAGGATATAATATATGTACTTATACCTAGTCTAAATTTCATTGTCAAATTTCTTTATAAAGGTATTCATCGTTTACAACGTAAAAGAAAAAGCTCAATTTTTGGGTAGGTAGGTAATCTTTGCGTTAACTCGTCGCGGAACTACGATGGGCGTAGGCCGCCTGTAGGACGTAGGTAAGTGGTGCGGGTAGGTACTAAGTATATATCGGTTTTACTAGCACTCGGTGCGTTTGGCACTTTTGTCCTTTAACTTGATGTTAGTTTGAACGTAACGAAAACGTTTAGATAATCAGGATGGGCATGACCGAATCTCCTGCTTTCTGGTCGACACCAAAAATAATCTTATTCAGTTGGCTGTGTGACGTCGCCGTCGCCGTCGGCCAAATATCTTGAAATGCGTATTTATAGCGCTTTATTCACATAATCTACACTATACCTAATGAGAATAAGTCGGGTTTTACTTCCTGGAGCTATAACTCCAAAATGCACGAACCGATTTCCAAAGTTTTGCATTCGTTGGAAAGGTCTCGGGCTCCGTGAGATTTATAGCAAAAACTCAAAAGAAAATTAATACAAAAGCGGGAACTTGGAACAGGAAGTGTAAAATCGACATCAACAACGGCGGAACCGCGTGCGACCGCGAGTTATTAATTATTTAGTATGCTCTCGTCTTAATCGGATTTATATTTACAGACCAATTATTTACAACACTTTTTGTGCTTTATTTAGAGAATCATTATATAGTTACAGTTGGGTAGAGACGTTACGGAATCTTGCAAAACCATGTAGGTAACATTTGGTGGGCCACGTCTAACTACTTTGGATCAAGACAGAAATAAAACGTATTACTATAAGGTTGGCTATAAGGTTTCATTTCATAAAATTCAGGAGCTGGATAAAAAAAAATAGGAAACGATTTTGGTGTTTCAGAGCACCTGAAGACGACGCCTGCGAGAAACAAGGATCACAATTCTGCGAAAAAGCCCTTAAAAACTTAATAGCGTTTAGATTTGTAAAGAACCATTGAGGTGATCTCCATGATTATCTGATGGTAGGTATAAAGCAATCAGCGCCGCCCATGGACACCCGCAATAACGACGAAGGAGGAGGATTTGGAATTTTGGGATTGGGGGAGGGTAAGGATTGGGCCATCGGTAACCTCACTCACACGGCGAAACACATCGCTGTGGTTGTTTGACGTCAGTTTTCTATGAGGCCGTGGGATCACACCGATCGAGCCGACCAATTCGTGCCGAAGCATGGCTCTCCGACACTTAGATTAGAAGTCAGGGCCTTATAACTAGAAGAAAAATAGTAATTAGATACTTTGCTTTTTATTTACTCGTGTTTTTTTTAGGGTTCTGTAGTAAACTAGGAGCCCTTATAGTTTCGCCATGTATGTTAGCACTAGAAAGCTGAAATTTGGTACCAATAGGTATGTAAGTAGATCAATCACGCCGATAAAGGGGTAAATTAAAAAGTGGTTAACCGCATATGCAAGCATTTTTTTGACTTTGTTTGTATAAGTACCTATCTTATTTTTATGATAACATTATTTTCATTTTTCAAATAAAAAAAAAAACAATAATTTAACAAACATCACTCGTTTAGTTTGTATAAATTAGTAATCCTATTCCTTACGAGCTAAGAGATGGCGCTGTACTTTAAGTTTTAAGATTTACAATAACTCCTAAGTGGAGATAATTATTGAAACAGACGGAAAGCTTTTTTAGATTCTTTTAGAAATCTATTTTAACGCATCATTTATTAAGAGTAATTATCCTACTTATCACCCACATGGATGTAAGCATTTCAACAGCACAAATTGATCAAGATCAAAAACAAGGTAGGTTTTGTTAAGTTCGGCTCAATCTTTTTAATATAATTAATCACTGAAGGAACAATCGACTAAGTAGTCGACCCTTCAAATTTCGAAAATTCAACCCAATTCTCAGTTTTCAAACAAAATTTGCACCACTTACTGAACAACCACCTGCAAAGAGCCTATGGGTCGATATTGATTGACGATTGTATATCTACGTGATATCACACACTATGAACAACAAAACAAAAAGCCGCTTTTTGGAATTTTGTTTTCAATAAAGTAATAAGATTTTATATCAACTGACACTGCCAAGAAAACAGGATTATCATCTCAGCGATATTCTAGATTTGGATTATAAATTGGTCATTCCAACCATTCCAACACTTGTTTGACAATAAATAAAGGTCTTGGAAGTATACTGTCTTTCAATTTAAGAAAATAATAATACTTAACCGTTTTTTGATTGGCATAATAAATAATTATAGACCAATAGATAGCCACGCCACATCTAAATCTTTTATAGCGTATCTGTGTGGTGTGTGCGTGTACCTATGATCTACTTACACAATCACACACAATCATATAATGACATGAAAAGATTCAAAAGATACATCAGTAGGAATAAATCGTGAATTCTTCTAATCCGCACTTGAATACAGTGTGTGAATGGTATTAATGTATGCAGCATACCTAGGCCTCGTCTACAACTCTGTGAGCAGGTCTGAACCTCCTTTCCGATTTATTTATTCTGATTACGTAGCGGCCAGCTTTAATTAGCCTCTTTAGACATGATTACCTCAATAAATCGGTTAATAAGGTTGTGGAAATAAGAAAAGAAAACAATTTACGTTAAAAGTCTCGAGAATATATTCTCATTACAACGCAAATCAATTTCTATTTAATAAAATCACCCAAATTATAAGTAAGTATATAAATTTACTTGCATTTTGTATCATTCATAGTTTGACGTTAACATTTGCACTTACACTATGAATCTTTGGTTAATGTATTGTTTGTTGTTGCATTAATACTATCGGCAAAATTATATTAGCATAATGAATAACAATACAATATAAAAAATAAACATTAGTATATAAATTCATAAAAAAAGACAACCAGTACAAAATTAAATCGTATTTACAAGAAAAACATTTCTAAATCGACATGAGATTCTGTGCTAGATTTAAGCAATGCATCATTACTGCAATGTATTTGTACGAAAATGTCTCGCAAAAATATAAAAGTAAATATTATATGAATACACCTTCCGAAGTAACAAACTACTTTTAACTTAGGTACTATTAACTCGAATTGATCGTTGACAATTAATTATTTGAATTCAATGTTTTCTTATGTGTAGTTCACGGATCTACGAAAGAGATCATAATGTATCTTGTGCCCTTGGTGACAAGTAAGCCTTCGTGGTAATGCGTCAGACGGCCAGGGTGCATCAATAGCCATCCAAGCTTGGTGTCGCGAACTGAACAATTGTACCGAATGAAACGACAGCCGCCTCCTTCGAAGTCAACATCTGAAAAGTAACATTCATGCATAAACTCTCATGCCTTTTGCAGGACATACAGACTACCGCCCATCGAATTACGGATAATGATCATCGGTGACAAAAATATATATTATATGGGTTTGTAACTAATTACAGCAAAGTTAGACAAATTTGAACACAAAGAGAAATATGTTTGATACATGATGAAAGAAATAACATTAGCAAATACGTAGAAAATGTTAATTTTGACTGAGTCATGACTTAACACAATCACTCTACTCTGACTTTTCTACCTTGTTTACTTTTAGTTTTTCTCCTGTGTGTTTTCAAACATACTTTATACGTTTAAATCACACCCAGACCCGAAACAGCAATTTCTTGAACACATTAATAATTGTTCCGTACGGGAATAGAAACACAACGTCTAAATATCAAAAAATATTATGTTTCATCCTCTACCAGTGTTACTATATACGCCATTTTTATTCATTTCTTGTTTTTGTCTAGTATATTTTTAATATTCGCAATCAAAGACCGACATGAAAACTAACACTTATATAATTCTGCTAGGTATAGGTGCTGATAAGGTAAACCAAATTAAGCATGGGAGACTTGCGATTGTTGCCCTCGTCAAAAAGAAAATTACAACACATTAATTCGTATTTGGAATGGATTGACCTGGATTGACATATCTTTCTATTAACATTTTAGAATTCGCCGGCTATATTCACCGTCAATCAAACAGGATCAAAATGAATAAGGGCGTATGTTACTGTTACATTATATACAGGACACAGTTCCAGACGACTAATGACTGAATGTTAAACGAGCCCGTATAGTTCGATAGTCGTACTTGCAAATACTCAACGAGGTAATTGGCGCCTTCGTTATATACATCAAGTTAATATTACATCATGCGCAGATGATAGTTAAACTTACTGGGAGTGTTGAGCGCTAAGTTAATGGTGTACGTGGAGGAATCGTGGTGTGGACGAAGTGACGGCTGTTCATCTGGTCTGTAGCGCACGACGAAGTTCATTATGGATACCGGGGGCTGTAAAACAATAAAATATAATAAATGGTCGTTGCTTTTCATGGGACCAAAAGACGCCAATTCTTTGGAAGGCGTACGAGGTGATGAAACCAACTTGCGGTGGCCGAGCTGAACAATTTAAATCTAAAATGACACATTATACCTATATGCACTATGGAAGTGCACCCAATGAATGACATTCCCTGGTTGATACAAAACTATATTGTTTTTGGGTATGGGTGGCTATGGACTGATACACACTGTAACTTACTAGGACCTTAACCAATATTAATAAACAGGCAGAGGGTGACTGAAAAACCGAATTAATAGGCCACCGGAAACGGCCGCTAACATCTAGCGACATGGAGACAACATACGTTGAGCTGCTTGGGAAAGGAGAGGCATCCCACGGCTATCAGAGCAATTCCGGAAGTTCGGTCAAGACCCCATACATAGCATCTTACTGAGATACATCCTTCCCCCGAGTCTCTTTCAACTCCTACTCTTGCTAATCTTCACTCAAGCCAGCCCATTAAGGCAAGAATGAGGTGGGAGGGCTTATTCCTCATCAGTGTCCAATCCATACTCATTGTCACATTACCAACCTGAGATGACTTATCCCAGGAGTCAGGTCCGTGGGGTCAACCCTGCTCAACAGCTCGCCACAAGCTGCCTTACGGATGTTTTATTCTTTATTATAGTGCGATATAATGTACTCATTATTAAGTTCCCGTAAGGTATAAAAAGACCTAATGAAAGCCACGCAGATACCTAATACTAGGATAATGAATAATAATAGCGACCTAGAATATTAAATGTAAAAAAATCTTACATTGTGATAATATCCGGTAAATACCATCTCTTGAAGTGGCCGCACAAATTCCTTCAAAATGTGAAGCCAATGTTTCTCCAAGCCAACTTGATTCATGTGGATGTCGCGAGTAGGTACTGCTTCGTATCCGCTCTCGAGACGTTTATCCTGCATAAAAAAGGACCTTAAATTAATACTGGTTCTAATACACAAACTGAAATTCATTGTAATTACGTTTATGAAACAGAATATTAAAAAAATATATTTACATTGTTGGATCCGTCACTCCATTGGCCAAACGCCTCCATAATTTCAATCCATTCTGAACAGAACCTTTTGGACATTAATGGGAACCAGTATACGTCAGGACACGGCTGCAATGAACAAGATTTACATAATAATAAAAAAGTATTAGGTATATACAATTATTACCAGTTACAATTATAACAATACGAACCATCAAATGTTTCCTATCTTCATCGAAGTTTAGATGATAATCTTCGTGTAAATAGCGCGTAGTCCATTCCATTTTATTTTCAAAAAGCTGATACATGTCTGGGTTCGTGCGGCTAATATCATACGTCTCTGGATTGACCAAATGTCCAAAATCTAATTCATTGCTAACGTGCATATATACACCCTAAAAAGAAAAGTTAGTGTTAAATATAGCTCTTTTTAAATAGATTCTGTGTGTAACTTTCATATTCGCAATGGGAAGATCGCACTTACAGCTTCTCTTAGACTAGCGCAAAATGCCATATCGGGATCGATTCCGTCTCTAGTGTAAGTAACCGACTTGGTAGCTGGCAGCCTGAACAGAGACATCTTGGCCAGGTAGCAGTTCGTGATGAAAGGCACGTTCCACACGCCTCTGTAATCAATTAGCGGGTACTTGGCATTTATCTATATTGATAAAACAGCACACATTTAATAGTTTAATATCATTTTTTCTGTAAAGTTCAACTCCTTTTGATAACCTCTATTGCTTATATTAAAGAAGTGCCTATAGCGATTGGTATTTTTGTCTTATCTTAATATTGAATAATTATAAAAAATAAATCAATACTAAGAGTTGTATGAAATTTTGAGGGCACGCCTTATCGTGACCTATGTTTGATTTTATTAATATCATTTAGAGTATCGTCGTACGAAATGCGAAAGGAAGTGACGAGTACCGTATGTCACATAGGGGAGACAAGGGCCCTCCTGCTAGCACCTCGTCATTAGCCAATTGAAAGATTGGCGCAACAGGAATCACCGACACCACCAGTTGCACTCAGAGTCCCGCGCAAGATATACCAGAATACTCACGTGTCTTTAAACCCGCATTACTTTATTCCAAGTGTGCTATTTACACCTGACCGGCCAAATGTTGCTCATGAAAGCTAATTTCTATCTGTGCTTACTCCTACTATACTCATTTTGGATATGTTCAACCGAAGCGCGACGCGGGCGCACCAGAAGCAGAACTAAATCCAAGGTAAATTAGCCGTTAACGGTTAGCAAGTCGTCAAAATAAAAACGGAGCCTTTACAAACAGAAAATATTATACTGGTTCTTTCAATTACATATTCTCGCAAAGTTCAAGCATCGATAATGCTTAACGACGCCGTCAACGTGCGTTTAAATATAAATTATCTTTTCAGGTACAAATTGGATTACCAATCACCGGAAAATACAGGGATCCCGAATCTGATCAATATTATAACAATAACGACGTGAGTTTTCAGCTTGGTGTTATGAAAGATACATTGCAAAATATAAACTTTGATGCAGATAGAATTAAATTAAATATCTTCGTTCATTTTTCAGGGAGCCAAAATCTTGCTGGCGTCACATTTTGACCTTGAGTATGTGTTGGGACACAAGATCGCATTCTTATGTATCGCCAAAGGATCACCGCGGCCGCATATTACATGGTTTAAAGATGGTGTGGAAATATTTGCACATCATTACTTACATGTGAGTACACAGACTACACAATATACCTAAATCTGCAAAGCGATTTTTCTTTAATTCCAATTAGTTCTTATATGACGTATTCTAAATACCGCTATGCACGTCTTACTTTCAGTTTGATAATAATCAAGTTAAATTAATTTCTATTATAAGCCAGCATATTCTAAATCATGGCGAATATACAGTTGTTGTAACATAAAACTACATTACAAAGAATTAATTTTTAATTTATCGTGCATTACTCTGCAACAAAAAACAAAGGCTCATTGTACCTACTTAGATAAAAGTTTATCGCAAAGCGACGCCTTGTTTTTTTCCGCATAGATAGTTTATTGAGGTCTAACATCACAGCAATAAATATGATGCCTATAACAAACAAACAGCTTGGTGACTCTGTAATGTGTTGATTAAATCTCATATACTGGCCATTGTCCTATTTCGAGCATTAAAATTTATTTGAGACACGAGGCAAAAACGTTCAATTGGAGAATGTAATGGATTCGTTATATGGGTCGCTTAGAGTTCAGTCTTATAGGCATGTTCTGACGATAATGATTGAGATCAATTTTACTCTGTTGAAATTACAATTGAAGACATGCTATCGGAATTATTATTAGTTAATTAACTTTCAAAAGCACAAAGATTACGTTAAATTTTAGGACATTATTGAGCGTAGGTACGAAAATATTTAGCTACTAACAAGTGTCCATTTATATTATTGTCTAGATTCACGAGTGGCCTATCGGTGAGGACCGTGTGAAGTCGAAGATTGAAATTGATCCTGCCACTCAAATGGACGCCGGCGTGTACGAGTGCACAGCTGACAACATGTACTCTATTGATAGGCGCTCCTTCAAGACAGACTTTTCCATTGCCTTCGACTGAGTTATTATTCTATTAACCGTACCTCATAAACAGGCAATGGTTTCTTCACTTCAAAAAGTCACGTTTAAACATACTTCAGAAAATTAAAGATGTCACAAAATGGTCGATATTGCCATGTCATTTTAATGTTTGTAAATGTATATAAATGAAAATTTAAATATTATTGTTATTGGCTAAACTTTACTTTTTAGTTTTACATACACAAATCTATATTCGAGACAGGTAATAAATCTATTCTAATGTATCTAACAATTATATATGTATCTAAATTGTTTGTCTAATAAACTTTAACAATAATGATTTTTATTTGTTGATCTCCGATTTTAAAGTCAGATTTATTTCAATTGGACAATATAGATAAGGCACTTTGAATATAAAACGTTAATTTTAATTTTTCAATTTTTCACATCGAGTGTAGATAGAGCTTGATTGAAGTAAGTTTAAACAGTGTATCATTAATATTCTGCTAAAGAAACGCAAAATGGTAAATAATAAAATTAACAGTTGACAAACCGTCATGACATCAAGCTTTTCAAACCCTATAGGGGTTAGCAGAGGTATGTTCATGGTATATATATATATATAACACCCACTGATTACAAGTCTCGTTATTGTATAAAAATAAAGGAAGAGAGTTTCTAGCATGATTTAAGACGCCGTGGTGAAATCTAATATTGAGAATTTTCTAAAATCGCGAGCGCATTTTCCTGTTTCCAACTGAATTGAAGTTGGTTGCTAGGAAGTATAAAGTAAAAATAAACCTTTTTCTTCAAAAATAATAATATAGCTTGAAATACTTACTTGATGTTTTGATAGACGATGTCCATGTAGTCAGAAGATCTAGCATAAAAGCCGGCATTGTTTACAGCACCCCAGAAGTTGGACCATGCAAGCCCAGGCCGAACTAGCAACGGAGCGATTACGTCATAACCCGAAGATAAAAGATGACGCAACGTGTTTGCTTCCAAACGGGCCACACTGTCTATTGAGAACAAATAGTCGCATGCACTGTTTATGCAACGATCCCTGTAAATAAAAACAAACACAATTAAAACAAATTTCCTTGAGATTTTTAAACCTGGAAAGTTGTTTGCACATCATCCTGTCATGCCTTTTATTCTATGAAAAAATTAAGCAGAAGTATCTATTATGTATATTCGATGTTATATCAAGTTGCCGCTACTTTTTACATGGAACTAAATTATTGACCTGCACTTGTTTAACAAAAATTAACACTCCCTTCTTATACTGAGACCGGCCGCTATGTCAAGTCAACCATGCATACTTAATGTTAAAACAACTACCAGGCACTTACTTGGCAATATTCCTAGCTTCTGACTCAGAGATGAAATCACTGGGTTTGATACGTTTAGCAGTAGCATACTGCTTGGAATGAGCTTGGAAGAAATCATCAACTTCAGTCTCATGATACTCCACATTATTTCTCAGCAGTAAATGAATCTTCTCCTTTGGATAATCAGTTGTGAGTACTTGATCTAAAAATTCTTCCAAAAATGGTGTTGGTTGTTCTATAAATACTGCCATCATCACTGTTGGTAGGTTATCCTCCTAAAGCATATCATAATTAATTAATATTTAATGTTGCTAAACAATATCATACAGTCAATTTATTATAAAGCAGTGTTATTTATACCTCAAGTTTAATTCTTTTTTCATCACATAGAGCACAGCCCTCTGAAGCGGACCATGCTTTGGCTAAATAGTTACCAAAATGATTTAACATCAGCTTGGATGGACCGTTTCCATGAACTATAAGTGGTCGCTGTTTGGTAACAACATTCTCTATGTAGGGCCAAGTTTCTGTACTTGTATTCGATTTTAATTGAACATCAGCTGAAAGAAAGGGTTAAAAATTATAGTTAAAGTTAACATACTATTATGACATACATTAAATGAAGGTTCATACATCAAAAGCCTTCCGCTACCCACCCGGTTGAAAGTCCTGAATGTGTAATATGTCACGGTTATAAAAATTATACAATAGTAATCCATAAATACTCACATAAAGCTCCATTCAAATTTTGGAATATAGCTGAGTTGTGATCCAGCTTAATCTTGAGTGTTTCCCTTAAATTCTTGTCTAAATAAATCTTTGTGTAATACAACTGGTCATCATCTTTATCACTGACTGGTTTATGATTGACTATTTCATGTATCTCAGGCAAGTAACCTGCACAAAGAATTAAGAATGCATATAAATATTTTGATATTCACATGTACACAATCATTATTATGACAAGAGCATTGTTTTAAAGATTAACAAAAGATCATTTATAATACATTCATTGTTGCTATCTAGACTAGTTTTTAAATGTTTATTTTATTTATTATTATTTAAAGAGATGAGCCTAACAATAAACAGCCCGGTAACTTAAACACAGTACAATTTGGATGGTTATTTGTTTTATATTGTATTTAGAAGTTAAATTACTAACATAAACAATAAACAAATAAATATATGTTTTTTGAATCTCTCAAGTTTATACTCTGCAAACTATAAGAGTGATAACATCATACTTATAAAAGAATTTTAGTCGCAACTTTACCTATGAATCCACCGGAGTTTAAATATGGATTGGCTACTTCTATGTTTGGATATTGTGATGCCAGTTTAGTATCTGGCCAGCAAAATTGTTCTGCAGCAAATAACACCCGAGTTTCAGGGAATGATTGGAACTTTTTCAAAATATCATCAATACTTGCGAGGAATAACACATCATAGCTGAAATAAAATATAAGCAATAAGAAATATAACTCATAAATTGAATTTAACATGGGATTACATATGAACAGAAACATCTTAAATGTACCTACTGACCTGTCAGTAAATAGAATAATTTTTTCCTTTGTTCCAGACTTTGACATCTCTTCCAACTTTTCTTTGAGCAAATTAATCTTTTGCCCTCCTCCAGGTAAATTCATGTCACCTCCCGTCCATTTTGTACCTCTGCCAAGAACCTCAACATCAATTCCATACACTTTAGCTGACCTGAGGAACCTCTCCAAACCATGATTCTCATCAGTGGCAACGGTTAAAACTTTTACATCATCTGTAACAAGCATAAAAAGGGTTATTTTCTCTTGTTCCCATTACTACTAAAATATGCCTGTATTAAACCTAAAATGTACATAAAGAGAAATTAGTGTGCACAAGTCCTGAATTTAATTTTTGCTGGGCTAGATCAAATATAGTTAGACATGCTAAAAAAGTAAGGGAGATAAAATATTGTAAGAGGTTTCTGGAATCTGATTATTGTCAAGTATGAGTCATTGTCTGGTATATTCTCAGAACAATAAGATTTACGTTGTATGCCAAAAGACAATTTGAAAAGAGAAATAAACGCAAAGCGAAAACAATGAGGTAAAAGTAGTAACAGTCGAGAAACAGCAAAAATTTAACTTCCGAAAAAGCTCAGCCATTAAATTCGCCAGCCCTAATCTAATTCCACATCGATACATTGTAATAATTTATTGCTTACCTCGTCCTTCAACCAGACCACTAAGCAGTAGTAGAAAACTTAAAGCTTGCAAGAACATTACTATTCTCTCAGTTCGGTGCATGACGACTAGTCAGAGTTCACTGTGCTTCCGTCGACATGCGCCTAAAATACTGGTCGTTAAACAAAATGCGGCTAAATAAACACTCGTTTAACGTTCCTCTTGTTCCAGATACGAGTTCCCGCTTCCGAAGCGATAAGCTTTAGTAGGTACTATTTATTGAAACTGAGATAACTTGCACTACACCGACCGTCCCGAGCTCACGACGCTCCGGCCTCGTATGAGATCATTTGATTCAAGCATATGGTTTTATATTACAATGTTGCTATTAGGTTATTATCTAAATATCATACATAACAATTTGCACACCATGCGAGTTCATCAAATCTTATTTAAACATGCACTGACTGACTGAACTATAATCACAATAATCAGCTACAGTAGGTAGTACGAATAGGTAGGTAGAAGACCGACCAATCGGGTCGAGTTGCGGAGTTGACGACAAAAACAATAACCAACTTGAACTTCGTGAGTGTGCGTTTCGTTCGGTCACACAGTGATAGTGATGAACACGTATTATGATTTGAAGTAAGTTGGTTGATAGTATGATTTTAAATTTTATTTGAATGTAACTAAAAAACAAAAGTTGACTGGTATTACTTTCTGATATTTCGCTATTCATTGTATAACAATACTTCGGATCATATTTATTTTAAGTAGCGGTGCCCCTTAAAACGCATCATAATAAATAATTTAATAATAAACATAACAAATCCTATTGGCACACAAGTAAAGTCCAAACACAGCTAAAAACTCGAATGTACTCAATGACGTATTATATTTATACATCATTGAATGTACTATGTTGTGCAGTAGCCTGACAGGTATTATCAACTGTCGAAGGATCCTCTCATTTCTTATCTAATATTTACTCCTAAGCTCTATTGTTATTAAATAATTTCACGGGATCGCTGCTAAAAAATTAAATACCCTTAATTTTTTTTCTTAATTCTGTAATTTGATCATCGAGAAATTTTCTATTTTAGATATTTTTTCGATGAATTTGGCATATAGGTGCCAAATTCCTGGACCAGGGTAGAAGCCTTCAAAAATAATGAAAAGTGAAAAAAAATATAATAGAATGAAACTCATTACAAAAAGAGGGAAATATGATAAAAATGAAAGGAAAAATAATTTACGGGCGATCTGAGGTTGGGAAGGGTGTGGGGGGAGGTTTTAAGGGTAAAAAACGGTGTTTCTCGATTTCCGGCAAAAGTAAAAGTCCTATCGAAAAAAGTCAAATGGAAAAGTTGAATATAATAAAAAGATTTTAAACAATTGTATTTACACTTTTTTCACATAACCTCAAAATTTATGTGAAAAATTCAAAAAACCAAGGTTTTGGTTTTTTATTTTTATATTCTACAAAAATTTAATTTTTTTAACGAAATTTTGTGAAAACTTACCTTTTTATGTCCCAAATACGCTGTAATTTATTTGATTAAAAATATTTATTTGATCACTTTATTTTAAATTAATATCGAAAAAACACCCTAATTTTCAATCGAAAATTCACCCGTCAAAATATTATCAGCTTTTTTAAAAAAGTTGGTATGGTTTCTGTTCGTTAAAATCTCATTACTATGGTAAATCTTCTCAGAAAACGCAAGTTTTTAAAAAAAGCTTGAAATCGAATTTTTTTTTTTTTATTATAAATAATTTTGAGCTATTTATTAAAATTTTAACTTTAATTAGGTACTCGAAAAACGTTACATTACATGTGACGTTGATAACAAAAAATTTGCAAATAAAAAAACAAATAAGTTAATTAAATTAAGACATCTACAATATTTGGAGTAAGTTGTCTAATTTTCTTTAAATTATATTCGTAGATGCTTATTTATAACTATTTTGAGATAAATTATATACATACCTGAGTAGATATACCTGAGTGACCTACGAAAAATTGTAGCCCATCAAAGGGTATTTCGTGGAGAAGTGGGGAGGGGCTAGGCGGGTCTGGGTCGTACTACATACATACCTACTATATACTATATATTTACTGTTACAACCGCTAGCCTAACCAGTATTCGAAATACAGTAAAGTATACAACATCGTTTATAAAAATACACGTGCACGCTGAGTTTTTTGAAGATAATTTTGACAAGTTTACTTAAAAAAAACAATAAAACTTTTCGAATCTCCATAGGAAGGTACATACTATCTCTATTTTTATCTGTATCAATCAACTCAACTATTAAATTGTAATATTTTCTTTAAAAAATAGTATGCTTAATTTCATAACCTAAAGATTGAAATTAAATGATATTTTAGTACAAGATAAAAAAATAATTATCTCCTTAATTTTGCACAAACAAATTTATTCCCATGAAAAAAAATTTTCAAAATCTATAAAATATATGTATTGTAAATATATTTCTAATAAAACACACTTTTGGCCGATTTTTATATATTTTTTATACTTTTTTATAGATTTATAATATATTATTTATACATTTTGACATTGACTTCTATAATATTTTTTTTTCGTGAGAGTTTATTTACGATTATGTAGTGAAGACATTATTAATTCGATTTTGTCTTTTCAGATTATCAGTATGGATGAATCTGTTTGTATCATTTGCAATAAGGCAGATGATAAGCAAGTGTATGCAATAAAAAAGTAGCTTTGAATCGTTTAGTGGTATCCAGCAAAAAAAGGATGGACAATAAATACAAAAAAATTGAGACTTTGACATCAGCTTTTATTCATGAATAACGTAATGAGATTAAGCATCTACATTTAATAGTACGATTTACATTTATGTTTATCTATAATGAGATTTTCTTTGACATAAATGTAATTAGAATTAAATAAATCAACTTTTTAATTAAAAGAAATTGCAGCAATCACTTAATTAGGATGGAATTATTTATAATAATAAAAAAAATTACGAATTCAAGTTTTTTTTTAAAAAATGCGTTTTCTGAGAAGATAGTAACATATAGATAGACTATTATACTATAGATGACGATATATTTTTTTTTAACCATCGGAAAGTAGAGATTTCAACGAACAGAAGCCATACCAACTTTTTAAAAAAGCTGATATTTTGACGGGTGAATTTTCGATTGAAAATTAGGGTGTTTTTTCGATATTAATTTAAAATAAGGTGATCAAATAAAATAAAATAAATTACAGCGTATTTGGGACATAAAAAGGTACGTTTTCACAAAATTTCGTTAAAAAAATAAATTTTTTGTAGAAGATAAAAATAAAAAACCAAAAAGGTTTTTTGAAATTTTCACATAAATTTTGAGGTTATGTGAAAAAAGTGTAAATACAAAAGTTTTAGATCTTTTTATTATCTACAACTTTTTCATTTGACTTTTTTCGATAGGACTTTTACTTTTGCCGGAAATCGAGAAAAACAGTTTTTTACCCTTAAAATAAAATAAATATAAGTATTTCGCAATTATTAGCTGTTGGTTTGTGAAAAGTAGATAACAGGTTTTTTCTTATCGACTTTATGATAAAGAAAGTTAGAATAATCGGAGCACGACATTGCTTTGCCGCTGCACTGTGACAGGTAAAAAACGCTAATAAAATCGAAACAGATAGGAACCTACAATTATTATTTGTATGAAAACAGTAAATTTCACAACCTGTTACAAATACTCCATATTATCAACATATTAACTATAAATAACGTCACGTTGTAGCGTCAACTTGGTAAAATACATTTCAAAATATAATTTGTTAAAAAATTATTAAAATATGCACTCAAAAAATCAAAAAATAGTTTACTACCTAAACCTAAACTACTTTTTTTATATTGTGTTTGAGATTGAGATACATTTATGCAAACTTGACATCATATGATGAAATTGTAGGAAATCATTAGGTAGGTAAATATATTAATTGTCTAATTTTTGTTTTAATTTTAGGGTTTTAGAAGCAGTAATTATTGTCATGTACTTAGATACCGCAGTAGCACGGTATAACTATGAAATAATATGTATATTTATATGTTCACTGTGGCAGTACCACGTGCCGTACACAGTACGCCCATAGGTGCATTATTAACTTTATTTGTGTGATAACTTTAAGTGTGGGAGACTGGGAGAGCTAAGCTTCATGCCGGAATGGGTTGGCTCGACAGAAGTAATACCACGGCCTCATCAGACAACTAAGGCGTTCCAAATCCAAATATCCAAAACCCTTATCCCTAAAAGGCCGCCACCGCATTCGTTGGTAACACCTTTGGGGTTGCGGGTGACCATGGGCGGCGCTGATTGCTTACCATCAGGTAAACCGTTTGATCGTTTGCCGACTTATACCATAAAAATACTGAGTGACAGCTCAGGTGGCGGTGGTGCTCGCTGTGCCTTGCTACACGCCTAATACCAACGGAGTTGGCACATGGCACCGAATACACACACATAATTTGGCTGCGGGTGGAAACGGAGCAGGAAATGGAACGGAGAATGGTTTATAGCCGGTAGAAATCTAACACCCTTTCGTTCTACTCGGGACGGGAGAAGAAGGTAAACTGTCCCCCCCAAAAAAAGCTAATGACTTGAAAGTTTCATTCGTAGCTACTATACTACCTAATCGGACTAATCCAATGTAATATACTACATGTACAAACAATTGTGAACTAAGTACAATAAAATAATAATCTAGGTACATATTATATTTTTTTTGTGAGTGGAATATCATCAAATGACTCCTCCCACCCAGGGCCGGGCAGGAGGGAGTGTCAGACCGCAGGCCCGTGTTTACGGTGGCCGGAGATCGTCCCTTGATCCCCGACGCCCGTAGTGTCGCCAGTTGCGGCTGCTGGGGCGTGAGGAGGAGGATTGCTCCCTCACGCGGGCCGCCTCTCTCTTTGCGAACATGACTGCTTCACAAAAGGAGGAGACGGCGTCCAAGTTCCTCTCACTCCGCACCATGGCCTCGACTAAGGCCGGGCGCGAGAGGTCGCCGCCGCCGATCACTTCCCTGAGGATACGGCGGTGCTCAGCCCAGGCAGGGCATACCGCTACCGTATGCTCCACCGTATCCTCTAGGTGGTCCTCACAATGACGACACTCGGGCGTTTCCTCCCGCTGGATCCGAAACAGGAACCTACCGAAGCTGCCGTGCCCGGTAAGCACCTGCGTCAGGCGGAAGGTGAGGACGCCGTGGCGTCTCTCAAGCCACTCCTCAAAGAGGGGTCTTACCGCTGCTGTAGTAGCGTGCCCGATACCTACCTAGGTAGACATTTACTTACGTCGTCGGAGAGATTATTATTATTAGGGAAGTACCCACTGCCGCCTGCTACTTAACTGTCTTCTGTAGCGTATGTATGTACCAGACATACTCTATACTTATTACTTATTTACTTATACTTATTACTTATACTTATTACTTATACTTATTACTTATACTTATTACTTATACTTATTACTTATACTTATTACTTATTATGACAGACAGTGGT